GGTGGATTCCAGATGTACCCCGGGCGGTGGGCGCCGAGCGCTGCGAGGGGCGTTGGGCCCCTATCGGATCAGGGACCCCGCCGCAGCTCCTTGAGACCCGGCCAGGCCTTCCTGGGAGTCCTCCTGGGCTGGGAGTGCCCCTCTGGGCGGCAGGACCTCGTCGCCCTGGAGCGCTCGAGGACCACGCCCGAAACACCAGCGTCCTTTTTAAAATTGGCTCTTAGACGTTTCAGTAATATGTCCCTCTTGGCTTTAACCAAATGCCCTCTTCTCACATCACTGTACTCGTAGGCCCTATGAGGGTGGGCTCGCTACTGGGAGGTTTGGGGGGAAATCACTTAGTCCCACAGTGAAGTGAACTTTTTAACTGGGAAGGGCCGATGTAAGGAAACCGGAGGGTCACTTTCCTGGTAGACGTGGTGGAAGGTTTTGGGTCAGTTAGGGGAGGGCTAGCCAGCTGTGAGGCTGGATCCGATTAACGGGTGGATCCACCGCCAAAAAGCCACAGTTCCTGGATGCCTTCCAGCAACGGTTAGATGGCTAGGCTCAGGAAAGTAGAAGCTTCCTAGAAAGGAGACTTGACCAGCGATAAACCTTAACTGAGCCTTTTTCCTTGTGCCAAGCACACAGCTATTTGCTTTCCATACAACTGGATCCAGGCAGAATAATTTATGAAGTTAATGTTACGATTATGCATGTGTTGCAGACAGTCACTGATCGTCAGGGTCACACAGCTAGCCACTTACCATGCCTAAATCCATCTGCCACAGAGTTCAGGTTACCATCTTGATAAAGGGTGCTATGGAGACAGCATTTCAGTTTTGCTTGACTGGGTGGAAATAGTCATGAGTGTTTCTTTTTTATGACCCTCCCCCAGGGAAGAAGAAAGGTACAGGACCTATAATAACAAATAGAGAAGGAGAGCGAGAGGGAGAGGGAGGAAACAGAGCAGTACAGGTCCTAAGACCTGTGGAGTACCACTTCTATAACCTTTTCTATGAGCTCAATGATTGCAATAAAAACAAATATCACGATGGTTTTAGATATTCTAATTACTGGGTACTTGATTCTGACCTCATCACCATTTCCCTTTGGTATTTTTAGTGTGACTTGGAAGAGTTCTTCAGTTCTACTAAGCATCAAACGTTCGTTCCTCATCTTCATTCAGGGAATAACACTAATACCTATCTCCTGAAGTTGGAAGAGGTTTAACTGAACTAATATATGCAAGATACTTAGAACAATACCTGGTACATTGTATGAATTTGATGAGTTCTTCATTATAAATTCAGAGCAGATTCCTCATGGCCTGACCTAGGCAGTTTATTTTCTCATAGAAGAGCCACTTGGAATGCTATGAGAGGATGAGACTCTGAGTGAGTTTGGCTGAACTATACATATCCTGAATAGAGATGGATGAGGGACTGACAATCTGTCTTTACAAGACATGGCTCTACCTAAATTCGCCTCGATTGCATGATACTAAAGTATACTGAGAGCTAGATGGATATTCAAAATTAATCAAATGTAATGTTCATGGTCCTCCTATATAGCATTTCCATTTATTCAGTGACACAAGATACTTGGAGTTAGACTGGGAGTGGGGTTAAATATGATTAGATCTATGGGGACTTATTAAGGGTAGTGTTTATAGCATTGAGATTGTGGAATTACAGAGCAGAGCTATTGGCAGAAATTTGGCAGTGATATTTATTGAGCACTTGAAATTTAGCTAATATTACTGAAAAACTGAATTTTGAATTAAACTGGACTAGTGGCTAGCATATTGTAGAATACCGTTCTAGAGGGTATGTGGAATAACTTTGAGATTTTGTAAACTTTTGCAAGTATTAGGAATGGAATGTATATGGGTATTTGTCTAGGAAGTGAGCTAGCTTTTACTAGACTCTCAAAACCACCAGAAAGATTATGAATTGCTCATTTTGGTCTTTGGTTAAAAAATAAGTTAAGGGCAGTGAGTATGTCCGCTTGTAAACATCGCTGTTTGTTATTTTTCATGTCTCCCTCCCTTCAGCTGCAGGTGGCTCTCCTCAGGGTTATTACAGAGAGAAACAAACTGGAATCTGAGACTTCAGTCACCAGATAAACTCTAAGCTTCTGGAAGGGGCTATGGCGGTGGCCCTGGGCTGTGCAATCCAGGCCTCCTTGAATCAGGGCTCTGTGCTACAGGAGTATGACACTGACTGTGAGGTCTTCCGCCAACGCTTCAGGCAGTTTCAGTACACTGAAGCAGCTGGGCCTCATGAAGCCTTCAACAAACTGTGGGAGCTTTGCTGTCAGTGGTTGAAGCCAAAGATGCGTTCTAAGGAACAAATCCTGGAGCTGCTTGTACTGGAGCAATTCCTCACTATTCTGCCCACAGAAATAGAGACCTGGGTGAGGGAACACTGCCCAGAGAATAGAGAAAGAGTTGTATCACTGATAGAAGACTTACAGAGAGAACTTGAGATACCAGAACAACAGGTGAGAAAAGGGTTTGGGGTCTTTGTTGTTGTGAGACCAAAAGAGGAACCAAAGCAGCTGGATCTAGACCAGATATTTTATCTCTGTGTCATTATATATCCTCAAGATTTCTCCATAGTCCTTTTCATTTTATTCTTCTACTGCAGTTAGTATGTAAGTCAGTGGTTCTCAACCCTATCAGGCCTTATACTCTTCTTTAACATACATTATAATGAATCATCAGTAATTTGCTGTTTGCCTGATAGCCAGGATCTTGGCTCTTTTTGTGCTTACCTGGGAGAAGATAGTGATTTTTACATTGTTAAAATGTTTTTCTTTTTTGGAAAGAAGGAAAATAAATGAGACCATAAATATGACTCCTAAAACTGAAAATATTTGCTATTTGGCTCTTTTTCAGTAACAGCTTGTCTAACCTGAGTCAAGTAAGTCTAGAACAGATACAAAGGGAAAGGTGCATAGTTCATTGTAAGCTTACTGGCATTTCTGCATAAGAATGCATAGAATTGACTTAACCAGAAGAATTCATAAAGTGGTCATATACCCCATCTCTGCTTAGAATCACTGTAATGGGACATTCAGGAATTCAGACTATGGCTCAAGAACCATAAACGATATTGCTGTTTGGCATGTGAGTTCCCAAAATGGCAAACAAGACCTTTACCACCTGGAATAACAAATAGTATAGTCTTTCTGGGATTTGCACAGTAGTGCATTCCTAGGAAACCCAAGTCATGCTAAATTATGCAAAAATGGTTTGTCTGATTAGCAGGATGTGGCTCTTGGCAGGTGATTTTTACCTACACAGATACTTGATGGTAAATTCCACTATTGGTAGGAACCTGAAACAGCTCTGCATTGAGAGGGATACTCCTGTCTCTGGACCATTAGCGGGCAGGGGCAGTGGTACTACCCCTTGTTTAAAGCCATCACTATGTGCAGCATCTTCGGGAAGGGTAGGCTGAGCAGAGGGCAGTGTCTCTGGAAGAAGGGAGCAGGTGCTTCCACTTGGAGGTTTGGGATCCTGAGTGTGGTGTGGGTGGGTTTAGCAGGAGCCAGTGGCTTCAGGGTAAGTCACCAATCTTCCTGACAAAGGTGAACAGCAGTCTTCCAGTCATTCCTCCCTCCCTAGAGGAACTTGGCCTAGTGGGCCCCCCCCTCTCTCATTTTGTTACCTATGATTTTATCTTCCACTGATCTAGGCATGTCCTACCCAGCACAGGAGCCACTACTAGAGATTGAGCACTTAAAATGTGGCCACTGCTAATTCAGACTTGTGTTGAGTGGGAAACACATATCACATGCAGAAGATTTAGTATTAAGGGGAACAGTAGGTGGATTATCTTAGTAGTAATCAGATTGATGGCATGTTGAAATCTTGATAGTTGGGATATCTTGGATTTAGTATGTCCTGCTACTTGGGTTGACCTATCATGTTTCTTCTCATGCACTATTTCATGTGGCCAGTGAAACATTTAAAATTATATGCATGGCTCTCTGTACTGCTAGAGGACGGTGTATTACTTCTGAGTGAGCAAAAGCTAACTGTACATCCAGTGGGTTTTAACAGAAAGTGATGGGTTCTGGCCTTTTCCCCAGGTTGACATGCATGACATACTTTTGGAAGAATTGGCACCAGTAGGAACGGTACCCATGCCACCAGACATGCATCTGGAGTCACCTGCTCTCCAGGTAATGGGTCCTGTTCCAGAGGCCCCAGTCACAGAGGCCTGGATCCCACAGGCAGCACCACAGGAGCTGAACTACGGTGCTGCTGGAGCATGCCAACCCTTTCTGGACCCTGGTAAGACAGCATCTTCTTTATGCCCTTTTGTTTCTGTGCAAGAGCTCAAGAGTATTCAAGGACTGGGTTTGGGTTGGAAATGCAAACTTCTCAGTGGGAATAGACTGTTCACATAAAAAGGAAGAGGAGAAGAAAGAAGAGAGGCGGGAAAAGAGGGAAAAAGGGTGACAAGGAGAAAAAAGGAAAGAGTAAAGGGAATTCTGGGAAAAGCAGGGAACAATGCTCTTTGGAGAGAATAGCATTGGGAACTGGTGAAACTAATACTCAGGGAGCTTTGACCAAGAACACTACGCAGAAAAACCATGGATGTTTACATACTTTGGATGAGGCCTCATTTTTCCAGCAAATTTTGACCCATAGCATCTTTGTTGTTGCATGTCCTTAGGGCTTAAGAGCCTCATTCATATGTAATACTTTAGTAACGTTTTCTCTTCAGACCTTTTAAGAGGCTTGTCTCTTCCATAATGTGGTAGAAATACATATATCATGAAATCTCCATCTAGAACAGTGTGTTTGAATGTGTTGTATGTCTGCATCACCTGGGGTTACATGTTCAACAAGCTCTCCAGGTGACTGCTGGCCACACAAAAGTTTGTGAAGTATGTTCCGAGACAGAGTGAGTCCTAGCAGGAAAACTTCTGGGTGGAGAAAGGCCACTATACCGTATGGCCCAGATTCCCCTGCATTTCCCTTCCCTGTAGGATTTTCTTATCTTGTTACACATACTCCCAGGCACAGCTCTTTCCTTGTCTCCATTAAGGCTTTGGTCCAGGTATGGCCAAGAGCCCTCCACCCTTACTCCCCCTGACACAGCTTCAACATGTTGGCACTTTGACAGCATAGTACTGAGACGGCACAAGAGAGTGACATAAGGGAATTAAGTAGAGAACATTCTAAATTACAGAAGTAGAAATGTCTGATGCACCCATGACTCGCACAGAGCCATGTCGAAGGAGTGCTATATGATAATTTCATTTATGTTCCAATCTTTACATTATTCTTTTCATGATCTTTTAAATTTAAAAAATGTGTTCATGTGTATTTACTTTCAACAAATGATAGAATTTAACTAGTCCTATTAAATTATAAATCTTTCTTCATGTGCATTCTCCATGTTAATTATGCTTCTTTTGTCAACATTGCAGGTACAAAGATCATACAGCAGCAGTATTACTCTTGGTGTTAATATTTTACTCTTAATCACATGGAAATTCATTCTATTTACCAAAAATAGATATAATTAATTAAGTAAAAAAGTACAAATTGGAGGGACAGGAAGTTATCCTGTTTTCATTACTGTTTAAATTGATAAAATGTGCTTTGCAAAATCATGGAAGGCTTATTGTTCCATTATTTAAAGGTTACTTATACCTTTTGCGTTTTTTAATGAAAACAACTTGATGTATTGCATGAAGTGCATCCTATTGGAGAGGAAAAGCGCAAGACACTGGCTATGTGGAGAAGAAATTTAAAAGTAATGTAAGAAATTGATAAATTTTATTTCAAAGGTTGGAATATGTTCCTGTCACCAAAAACCTAAGTTGTTGGGTAGATATAAAATGTGCATGCACACACACACACGTGCACGCACACATATTAGTCATTTGATGACATTTATATAAGGAAAAACAACATTCCTCATAAAACAAAGGAACTTTAGTAAAAACTACAAAGTGATTCAAGGAGGATATTAGTGTTAAAAAAAAAAACCCTTGGCCAGCTTAGGTAAGCTTTGTCAATTTTGTTGTTTACAAAGAAATAACCTTGGTTTCAATGACTTTCTCTGTTGTTTTACAGTTTTCTGTTTCATTAGATCCCACTGAAATCTTTATTTTCCTATTTCTAGTTATTTCCAACTGAATTTTCTCTTTTTTTTTCTAGTACTTTAAGGTGGAAAATTGGGTTATATTATTTCAGTTTTTCTTCTTGTTTAATGTAGGCATTCACAGGTATAAATTTCCTTATGAGCAAAGCTTTATATGTATGCCTTACATTTTGGTATGCAGTGTTCATTTTCTTTTATCTCAAAATAGTCTTGATTTCCTTTTTTGGTGTTTTGACTGATTAGTTATTAAGGAGCATATCATTTAATTTCTACTTATTTGTGAAAAATCTCAATTTTTCATTCAGTTTTGGTGGGAGAATATAATTTGTAATTTTGATACTTTTACATTTTGCAGTGTTTGTTTTATGGTGCAGCTTCTCATATGCCCTGAAAATTTTTCTGTGTGTACTTGTAAAAAACGTGTGTTCTGTTGTTGCCTGGAGTGTTCTATGAATGTCTGTTATGTTTAGTTTCTTTGTAGTATTTTCTGTATCTTCTGTTGTTGATCTTTTACCTAAAGTTTCTACCCATTTTTGAAGGATCTGTAGAATTATCTAGTTCTACTATTTCTGTCAGTTTTTGCTTCATTTATTTTGACTGCATGTATGTTCTTAGTTGTTATAGTTTCCTGAGACAATTATTCTTTTTATTATCATAAAATGATTGTCTTTATCTGTAATAACTTTGTGTGTGAGAAAGAGACAGAGACAGAGATGGAAACAGAGAGATGGACAGAGAAACAGAGAGAGAGAGAGAGAGAGAGAATGAGACATATATGCTGGACAGTAAACTAGAACCTTGACACTGAACTATGTTCCCAGCCTTTTAAATTTTTTTTATTTAGACAAATGGTCTCACTTAAGTCGCTAAGTTGCCCCAACTAGGCTCAAACTTGTGATCCTACTGCCTTAGCCTCTCAAAGTGCTGGGAATATAGGTAGGTATAGGCATGTGCCACCATGCTTGGCTTGATTACCCCCATTTTCAGATGAAGAAATTGAAGTTTTGAAAGGTTAATTGCTGTTACTCATCTCTTTCTATGCTGTTCCTTTTTTTTTTTTTTTACTTATTTGCCGGTACTGGTGATTGAACCCACAGCCCTTGCACTGAGCTCCATCCCCAGTCCTGTTCTATTTTGAGACAGGGTCTTGATGAGTTCCTAAGTTGCCAAGGCTCTGCTTGAATTTGTGATCCTCCTGCCTTAGTTTCCCAGGATTGTTGGAGTACAGGCATGTGCTACCACACCTGGCCTTTTCTAGATTTAATATCTATGTTGTTTAGCTATTTTGTGGGTGTTATTTACAGGATATATGTTTCTCCATACCTTTACTTTCAATCTGTTTGTACCATTGAATCTAAAATGTATCTGCTGTAGTCAGTATATAGTTGGATCTTTAAAAAATCTAGCCTGAGTTTCTCTGCCTTTTCTTTTCTTTTATTTATTTATTTATGGGGGTGGAGTTTGAGACAGGGTCTCACTATGTAATTGAGACTGACCTGGAACTCACTATGTAGCCCAGGCTGGTCTCAAACTCACAGCAATCCTTCTGCCTCAGCCTCCCAAGTGCTGGGATTATAGGTGTGTGCCACCACAACTGGCTCCGCCTTTTCATTGAGTTGCTTAATCCATTCACATTTAATCTTTTTTATGTGGTTAGATTTACATCTGCAATTTTACTTTCTATTTCTGTGCTGTTTGTCCTTTTTGTTTCTCTGCCCTTTTCTACTGCTTTCTTTTGCAAGAAGTAAATACTTGTAACATTTTACTTACCTTAGTGAATTTTCACAATTTTTAAATTTACTTCCTTATGGTTGATCTGTGGTTTTTCCATGAATACCTGAACTTATAATCAGCTTCAAAGATATACTAACTCAATACCAATAAGATTTAGAAATATTTGTTCTATATAGCTCTATATACATTTTTTCCTTTTTTGATATTGCTGTCATACTTAGTACATCAAAAATATTATAAACCCAACAATTCATTCTTACAGTCATTACTCTGTATAATTTTAAGACTTTTACAAAAGCTGAGAGAAGTAAATACATATATATGTATAAATATATATATTATGATTTTGTTATTTTACCTTTTAAAGTTTTTATGCTTTCTAATTTATTTTTATTAATACATGCTTGCAGTACATAATAAATACATTCAGCGTGTAGAGTTGTTGCATCTACATATCTTATCTTAGTCCTTACTTTCCTGTTCCTCCTCCTCCCTCCCCTTCCCTCCGTCCCTAGATCTCCTTCCCATTTACAAAAGGTCTACTGGAACTTTTGTTATATTAACATTATTTTTCATCCTTGATTTCCTTCATTTGTTCCTGTGAATCTGAATTACCAAAGTAGTTATTTCTTTAGTCCTGTATAGCTTTGCTCATCTGTTCTTTTTGGCAAGTACAATATATTTCTGTTATAGCACTTGGATTTTAAGGCTTGAAGAGAAGAAACTGAAATTTTCAGTTAAGCTATCATTTCTAATTACATAATTATCTTTATTTGTGCTGTTTTTTAAAATGTGGGTCAAATACATTTATAATGAGGAACTTCCAAGTCTCCTAGCAATTCATTCTCTCAGTTTCATTTCTGAGGAATATCTCTATTGTATATTCATTTTTGAAAGATAGTTTTGCTTAAGGTAAGATTCTTGGTTGACAATTTTCGTTTTTCTCTGATTACTTTGAATATGTCATCCCACTACCTCCTGTCCTCCATTATTTCTAAAGTGAACTCAGTTTTTAATTTCATTAAGGTTCCCTTGTAACTTCCCAGTCATTTCTCACTTCCTGTCTTTCAAGGTTTTATCTCTATGTGACTTTTAGGATATATCTATGGATCCTGTTGATACTCTGTCTGTGGATCCCCTTGTATTCACCCTGCTTGGAATTCATTGAGCTTCCTAGATACTGGATTGATTTTTTCAATACACTTGGAGAATATGGGGCCATTATTTTTTCAAATGTTTTTTCTGCTGTCCAGTAGAAATAACTATGGTTCAAGGGTGACTTTGCATACGCAAGGATTTGCCACAGGAAAAATGTCAGTTTAATATTTCTTAGTAATACTTATTATTGTAGGGGGTAGACTTCACTAAAATTGTCCAGCCACTCACTAAACAAATAAGCAAATAACAATGCAAAGTATTGGGGGATGACATAGAGTTGCTGGAATATATTATCTAAAATTCCAGTTTCCAACAAAAATGAAACAGGAAAGTATGATTCATATTATCAAGGGGAAAAAAAGCAGGCAGTAGATTCTGCTTATGAGTTTTTGCTAGATAGAGATTTAACAAAGACTTCAAAGTTTCATTGCTAACATGGTTCAAGAACTTAAGGAAAAAACATGATTTAAAAATTAAAGACATTATGTGACAGTATCACAATAGAGAATATCAATAAACAAAAATTATTAAAAAGTCAAGTGGAAATTTTAGAGTTGAAAAGTCTAATAACTGTCAGTCAGCTTTCCATGAATGTAACAAATATCTGAGATATCAATTTATAAAAAGGAAAGGTTTTATTTTGACCTATAGTTTTGGAGGGGTAGCGTGGTGGCCTTTTTGCTTTTTGGACTATGGACAAGCAGCACACCAGGGTAGAGATTACATTGTGGAACAAAGCCATTTGTCTCATAGCCATGAATGAAAAAGAGAAAGAGGAATGTGCTGGGGTCACACATTCCTTTTCAAGGGCATGCCCCTAATTACCTAAAACCTCTCACTAGGTCCCATGTCTTAAAGTTTTCACTACTTCCCAGTAGCATCAAGCTGGGGACCAAGCCTTTAACACATGGTACTGTAAGGGTCATTATAGATCCAAACTATAAAAAACGAATGAAAAAGTCACTAGAGTGGTTGAAAAGTAGATTTGAACTATCAGAAGAGAGAATGAATGAACTTGATGACAAATTGTTGCAAATTATGCTATCATAAGAACAGAGAGGCAAAAGTGAAAAGTGAATGGGGTCTCAGGGAAAAGCAAGGTGCCATTAAGCATACCAACTTGCATATATTTTAGTGAATGTCCCAGAAGAGATTCTTTTGCCTGTAGCTGGGGGAAAGAGGGTATCCAGGACTCTTGACTACACCATTCTGTGGTAGAAGTAACTGAAAGTGAGAGATACGAGGAGCCATTGAGATTTAGAAACCTCAAATTCACATTGTTCTTAAAGAATTTGAATAGATTTTCTCAAATCTTTTTTCATTTGCTCTGTGTCCTTAAGACTGTCACCAGTTGGCCACAGGTGCTTTTACTCAATTCAGATAGAAATTGCAGTTTGATGTTAGCAGTTCCTGGCTTTGAGTGCCACTGGCTCTCACCCATTAGGGTTACAGCTCTGAGCTTTCACTACTAGTGCCTCTTAGTTCTTGATGCCGTAGCTCTTGGTGGCTCCCATCACCCCTATCAGCACCTCAGCAGCCACAGCTGCTTTCTCCAGCTCTTCCAACCACTTCCACTGCCTTTCTGGTAGTCTCCACAGTTCATTTTACAAGTTACCACTGGTTGCCACCAGTCTTGGCTTTTCATTGCTCTACTGCTCTCTAGAGCTGTTTAGGGCTAATCGCCCCTAACATCACGAGCACTTTTTTGCTGTAACCTGCTCATCCCACTTTACCCAAAATATGAATAATGTACACACAATAGGACTACTCAAGCAAGGCTTTACTGGGACCTGTGCTGCAGCAGAGGAGGGTAGTACACAGGAGGGAACCCTCCTTAACTGAGCCAAGAAGTGTGAGGGAATGCTGCTTATATAAAAAAGGAGCAGGCTATACATGGGTAGTTTTCTGCATTTTACAGTCCTACTTGGGGACCTTTGCAGCAGTAACAGAGGAGTTGTGGGGTTATATTGTAGAATCTTCCAGAATGGTTGCAGAACATCATCTGGGGTAGGTTCGTGCCTGTTTGACCAAGGCAAGTATCTGCCTGAGTGTCTGCAGGGTGTCTAATACCAGCTTTGCTGATAACAGCTCTGCCAAAAGTCATGGTAAATAGCTGCTTGGTTGACATTACCATGTTTCCCTGAAATGATGGGGCTAAAATAATTACTGCCACTGCTTTCAGCAGATCTCCAGGAGGTGTGGCCATGTTGAACAAGGCCCATTGGAGATAACAGCAGTGGGCCCAGTCCTTCCCTGATTTTTGTTCTGTCAGGTGCCAGTTTGCTGCTGCTCCTCATAGAGTCACTAGCAGCAGTTGAGAGTCAGGGAGACATCATAGCTGTCAGAGGAACCTTGGCTTCTGTCAGAATGGCCTAATGGGCAGGTACTGGAGCAGCTGCAGAGGTGGCACAAAGACACTGGGGTCAGTGGTGCCAGACCACTCTTGGGGAGGAGAAGGGGAGCAATAGGGTGCCCATGATAGTTGTCAGTCAGATCACACCATTCCTCCAGCTGTTGAAAGCGGAAAGGGAGTCCTTCTTTTGTTTTATCTCAGGATCATTTGGACAAACTTTATGCATTTTGTTTTTTACTTTTAAAATTATCACCAGTTTCACTGGGAGATGGGTCTGCAGAGCTCATTACACTGTCATGCTAGGAGTTCATCTACAAGCTCTTCGCTACGTTTAGATTATAAATCAGCATTTTTACACCTAAGCCTTTGTTACTCACTTCTAAGTTTTAGTTTGCTCCTTCTTTTACTGCACAACAGTTTTATTTTGCTCTATGACCTTCAGTTTTATTTGACTTACTCCATGTTACCCTTTAGTCTCACCCAAACAAAAACAAAATAGTAAATTTAAACAGCATTTGTTTGAAATCCATCTTTGTGTTTCCTAATCTTAAAAAGGAAATGTATGGTCTTAATGCCATAAAACAAATAAAATGAGATATTTTAGTCCACTTCTTATGTCATGATATAATGTTCAAAAATTTAAATTTTCCTTTGGATTAATATTAGCTAAACTGATTTACTCATGTTATCTTCATAATACTAATATATAGCAATTACCCTGAATTTAGATCTCAAATTGGCCATTTCCAACTCACATTTCATTGCAAAGCAGTACACTTGGCCAAAGATGAAGAAGGCGAGGAAGGGGCATAGAAAACAGGATGCCAGCCACAGTGGCTATCGATGAAGATGGGGTGGGGGTGATGGCTAGACAGGCGAGAGCAAGGTTAGAAATTTTACTTGTCCTTTGATTGACAGAAGCACAGTTTGATCATTGGTTTAATTTTAAGAAAACCCATTTCTGGTCGTTAGACGAAACAAGGACTACTTTTCCTGGCTGCCAGCCCAGTTCAATTCCCATTTTAATTTAAAAGTCTTCACTGAACTTATTCCATTAAACAGTTTACCACCTCCCACTTTTAATATGCCAAAACTTTATGAAGATTTATATCATAGTGTAGCTCTAAGCCAAGTAGATCTATTATCAGAATAGTTGCAGAAGTAATTTAGTACATTGATTTCAGCACACAATTGATTCTCTCACTGTCCATACATTAGAGACTAGCCTTGAAGTGAGCACAAAAGAATATTTAACTTCATTTTTGTTTTCTTATCTTTTTAAAAAGACTATTATAAAAGTGACTCCAGATGAAATCATAGTACTTCAGAAAGAAGTGGATATTAAGGGGCCCTGTGTCCAAGAAATCAGTCTAAATTCTGGGAAAGCTTTTGATGAACTGAACTGTTATGCTTCTCTTCTTTCCTATAACCAGGATATTCACTGCCAAAGCTTGATGTGAACTTCCCACTGGAGCCTCGAGAAGAGCCATGGGTAAAGGAATTACAGGATTCCAAAGAAATGAAACAATTACTTGATTCCAAGATAGGTAAGTAATTGTTCATTGACATGCTAGGGAAGAAAGAACAGAAAAGGGCTGGGGATTTAGCTCTGTGGTGCCATCACCTGCCTCGCAAATGTAAGGTCCTGAGTTTGATCCCCAGTACCAAATATATATGTATATATTAGGAGAAAGAACAGCAAAAGTCAACCTTAATCCAGGTGAAGAGCTTCCTATCCCACTTAGGAATTTCTGTATTCCTGCTAATGGTTTAATATGACTTTTGGTTTTGCTTCATTTTTCTCTTACAATACAATTAACATCTTCAGTTTCTATTTCTTTTCTCAGGTTTTGAGATGGGGTTAGAAAATGAAGAAGATGTTTCAAAACAGAAAAAAATGGAGAACATATATCCATTTATAGTAAATTTAGAGGGGAATTCTATCCATGATCCTGTTATGCCAAAAGACTATGTACCATTAGAAAATCAGTGGGAGCCACCCCCGGAGGATTTACAGACAGATCTAACTAAACTTGTAGATCATCAGAACCCCACTTTAGGTGAGACACCCAAGAGCACCAACTTAGAAGAACCTCTCAACCCTAGGCCCCAAAAGAAAAAGAATCCAGGAGAGAAACCTCACCGATGTCCTCAGTGTGGAAAATGTTTTGCTCGGAAGTCACAACTTACTGGGCATCAGAGAATTCATTCAGGGGAAGAACCTCACAAATGCCCTGAGTGTGGAAAAAGATTCCTTCGTAGTTCAGACCTTTATAGACACCAACGACTTCACACAGGAGAGAGACCCTATGAATGTACTGTGTGTAAAAAGCGATTCACGCGGCGGTCACACCTTATTGGGCACCAGAGAACTCATTCTGAAGAAGAAACATATAAATGCCTTGAATGTGGGAAGAGTTTTTGTCATGGATCAAGTCTTAAAAGACATCTGAAAACTCACACAGGTGAAAAACCTCATAGATGTCATAATTGTGGGAAAAGTTTTAGTAGACTGACCGCACTTACTTTGCACCAGAGAACACATACTGAAGAGAGACCTTTTAAATGTAATTACTGTGGGAAAAGCTTTAGGCAGAGACCAAGCCTTGTTATTCACTTAAGAATCCATACAGGGGAAAAGCCATATAAGTGTAGTCATTGTTCTAAAAGCTTCAGACAGAGAGCAGGCCTTATTATGCACCAAGTCACTCATTTTAGAGGACTTCTTTAAGGATTGTTGAGGGAAACAGGTCCTACAGAAACTAACACTAACTCAAAAAAATTGTAACCTGTAGTAGCCTGTCTGTTTGGAAGAACCTTTATGTTTGAACTCATGAGAACTGCTTTTTTATTTGGGGGGAGCTGTTTTTTTGTCAGCATTTTTATTTTGTGAATTCAAAACTGCAGATAGTGTAAGAATTCCAAGTGTTGATATATTTCAGCCTTTCTTTACAAAAGTTAGGGGGGCTATTTAAAAAGTCCATCTTCAAAGGCATATGAGTTCTAGAATAGCCACCTACAGTAGCAGCTTTCCTAACTTGATTTATCCTGTCTCCACAACTCTTTTTTATTAAAATGGAAGATTTTATGTTCCAAGGCAGCCATGTCATACATATATGCATAAAGCATAAAAATGATGACAGACCTTTTAGGGGTAGCATCAGCACAATGGATAACCATGTCTGTTGATGTATCTGATGTAGCAGTACCGTACATATTCTGCTGTATAATTATTAAAGGTGAATTCAAAACTTTAGGTGTGCCAAAGTGGCAAGATGGGAGACAGTGACTTTTGTCAAACAATAAAATTATATCAGGAGCACAAGTATGGAGGGGGTATCATTTGCCTGGTGAAAACTGGGTTATTTCCATTAAAATGTTTATGCTTAAGAAAATTTAGATTTAACCTTTACTTCTGAATTTTGCAAAGTTTTTTGGTCTGCTTAGTTGCCATTCTGTGGTGATGGTGCCTAGTAGGGACTATTCATTTGAAATTTAAGCTCTAGGCCTGGAAGAGTCCACTTGAAGCCAGATGTGGTGATCCACACCTATAATCCCAGCATGCTGGGAGGCTGAAGCGGGAGGATTGCATATTCGAGTCCAGCCTGAGAAAATTAATGACTTAGCAAGAACTTGTCTCAAAATAAAAAGTCAAAAAGGGTTGGGGAAGGCCCTGCGTTTGATCTCTATTACCACAAAAAGTAAAGAAGTCACTTGACTGTTGAAGTTGTACAAGTAGGATCTAATTTAACTGAGATTGACTGATGAATCTGTATCCATGGCTTTTTTCTCTCTTGGTATTCACTCACATGTCTTTCAGTGCTTTTGAAAATTTACCCATTCCTTAATTCACTGTCTCTCCTAAGAATGTGTCATAGAACACTTAGTCCTGCAAGATATTCTGCAAGTAAGTTTCTGAATTGCTTCCTGCTGTTTTCCCTTCCTGGATTCATAGTGCACATCAGCATGAGACTCTGGGAGAGGTTTTCTAGTAAAGAAGGAGAAAGCACCTCTTTGGCTCAATGTTTTCCAAAATTACTTGAACCCAATGCACCTTTTTTCGTGTTCACTCAATAATAACTTACAGAACTATTATTCTGCAAATGTCCCTTGGAATACACTGCCTTAAACAAATATTTCTGTAACTGTCAATATTGTTCTGTTTCTCCCAAGCTAGTTATCTCCAATTGTTTTAAGGGTATTATAAAACAATTCCTTAAAGATATACATCTTTTGTATAATACACATATTATTTCAAGGAGGTGAGGTTCAATAATTTATATCATTTATAAATTGTTCAGTGATTCTCTACCTCTTAATTTTTCTTATAAGTACACACGTGCACACACACACACAAATACAGATACATACATACCATTTTAACAAGGTGAGGATCACAAATTCAGGCAAATTAAAAGTTGCCAGTGATTACCATCCTTTTTGAATTTTACTTATAATTACACACACACAGTTGTTGCTTATATAAACGTTCTCATATAATCATGGTAACAACTCAAATTCCCACATGAGGGAAGAAGTCTCATTATCAGTTAAAGCTGTTAGTATGTGAAAATATTCATCGAGCCTAGTTCCTTGTTAGAAGATACAAGAAATAGGACACTCAAGCATTTTCCTTTTGTGAAGCTATCCAGTCATCCTTTCCTTAACTAGTCCTAGGGAAGTATATCTCTTCTATTGCATTGAATTGCTTGCAACTGAATCTAAGCATCTGGGAGTATCTACTGTGTGCCTAACTTGTCCTGTTCTAGGCTTAACAGAAGCTAGTAAAGAAGTACAATTCAAGGGCCAGGCTCATAAAAGAGTTTATAATATCTCTAGTTATAAACAAGAGTTGGGGAACACATGGCGAACAATGCAAGAGAGTTTGTAATTAAGTGCCAAATCATGTCAAGTGCCAGAGCCAGGATGTGTCTTTAATTCTTGACATCCAGGTCCCTGTATGATGCTGCTATACATTTAGGGTTAAAATTGAGATCCCGGTAGCAATAAACATGTAACATGGGAGGAGTCTGAATGTAGAGATGAAACATACTGAATGTAATGGCTTCTCTTTTCTCTCTTGTGGAATCGCATTCAAACCAGAAGAGTGCCTTAGAATGGATGTGCCCAACTGCTCTGTATTTATACAATATTTTAATAAAATGGAAATGTATATGCTATTCCTGCTTCTCTTGCATTAAGTAATTATTTGAACAACTTAAGAGATGCTTCCCAGAACAGTGGCAACAAGCATCACATTTGACTTCTGTCCCCATTCCAAGTTGGAATCACTTTTCTGGCTGCAACCATACTACACTGATTATGCGTTTTTTTAACATTTAATACTGACAACCTCCCTCATCTATGTTATGAACAAACATGATTAGATTTTTATAAGACAGAATGTCTCATATTCATCTCTATTACAGTGCCCTGCGTATAATGAGCATTAATATATGTGGCATTGAATGAAGAAAAATATGAAATTGTTCTTGGAAAGAGATTACATAGTTATAACATTGTGTGTATATACCTCACAAGCGCATATACAGTCCCCATCTCCTGTCTATTATGAAGGGCAAAAACAATACTTAAGTATTCTTAAGTACTACAAAGATTAAATGAAATATGTTTTCAGGCCCTGTACAGTATAGGCTTTCAATAATACCAAGCATATTGTATTGAGATTTGTTTTAATGATAAAGGCATTTAAGGCTAATAAGTTTCTAAGTGTGGTTTTGGTCATATTTCATAGTTTTTATAATGTTCTTATTGATGATTTCAAAATTGTTACTTTAGTTTTCATTACAATTCCCTTTTGACTCATGAGCTGTACAGTGTTGACATTTCCTTTTAATTTTTGGTTTTGTATTGTGACTAGAAAATAAGTTTTACTCTAAAGCTCACTTAAGTTTTTTTAAGACATTTGTTAACATTTTGTAGGTTACCTAGAGACTCAAAAATAAGTATTCCATTTGTGGACACAAATTCTGAATATGTCTTTGGCCTCCCAGTTACTTTAATATCTTCAGGATTATTCTTGGCAATGTGTCTTTTTTTTTTTTTTTTTTTTTTTTTTTTTT